GGAGATTTCCTATTATTCTTGTCGCTGCCAAAAGCGTGGCAACAGGATTCCTGAATGCCCAGAAAAGGGGGCAAAAGATTCCAAATCAAAAAATTAAAATATCTTATTAAACAAGCTATTCTATTTGATCACGACCCCTTTCCATTATTTTTAAAATTAAAGGAAGTTGAAACCAAAATTCAAATTAAAAAATCCTTAACTCCATACAAATTAATTCCTTTGGATTTTACGGTTGATTTCCCTAATTTTGAAATAATTAAAAAGTCTGATCCTCGTTATAAAACTTATAAAATTCGCTATCTTTTCGGCCTTGATTAATCACACAACTTGGTCCAAATCCCGGGTAAATAACTTAAATGTTTTGACCCAAAAACGGACGACAGAACGTAACATATTGTTGAATTTTCGTTCAGACCGTCTGCGAAACAGAACAGAATGTAAATTCTTTACCTGTCGGATAGCTTCCTCTTCGATCGTAACGTTCTTCCGTGCTGCTCGAACACCCTAACTTTCTCTACTTTCCTCGACCTTTCAACGAGTGTAACTAAATAAACCGGTAAGAATTCAAATTGCGGGCAAATCGGTCGCGGCTTACATACAAAGTCATAGTGTTTACGTGACCGGGGTAGCAAATGAGGAACGATGATGCATGTCATGTGACTTCCAAAAGCGCGGGCTCGGCCCAGTGATATATGTATATCTCCGTGTACATATTATTTTGTACAATATATTAATATGATTATACTTTAGCAAATTTATGTAATAAACAATGTATGTATACATGTCCTGCACAGTAATCATATATTTAAAGATGTACAAACACGAATATAATTATGATTGTATAACTATGTTTCAAACGACGAAATTGCAGAAATTTAAATGAAACATTTATTTTATTATTTAAAGCATTTTATTTGAAATATAAAAATATATAATAAGATCTCTGAATTAAAATATTTTCCACCTTTTTCCCATGAAATCATCGTCGTTCAGTTCCTTCTAGTACTTTTGCGATTTCTGAGTCTACGTTTGTGGGTATATTTTCAACAAGTTCATATGCCCATAAGTCTCTGAGCAAACGGCTTAGAAGGTTTAATTGTCCTGATAGACGTGCTCTATCACATTCCCGTTCGATCATGACGATGTTTGCTTGTCGACGTTCTTCGTTACCGGATCGATCTGCAGCTTCCTTTAAAGCAACGGATGCCAATTCCTTGATATTGATTGGCACGGTATCATTTTTGGTCAATACCGTCAGTATTTTCATTATGTCTGTTTCCATAAGTTTTACAGCGACGTCTTTCGAGCTTCTCAACATATTTATCACAATTATAATACCCCTTTCTTGTATCTTACCCTCTGGATTAGTGAGTAAAAGGCGTAGGGATTCCAACCAGGAATTCGAGTCAAAAACTTTCTTGCACGCCTCTCTGTTGGCCGCCGTCAGCGCCATTAGAATTGCAGCTGCTGCGAACTTAGTATCTTGATTCTTGTCCTTGCACAGTAACATAAGATGCTTAACTCGAGATTTGTCCTCCTCGAAACATTGGATAGCGACTTCATGGTTTGATAACAAAATACCAATAAGTGCTAGGGACGCCACTTTCAAAAGGATGTCTTTCCCGTACACAAAGGCCTCGATCTTCTGAAACACTCCCTCCTTGAATATATTTCCTCTCATGGTGTCGCTGACTTTAGCAAGATTGCACAGAGCTGTTACAGTCTCGCAATTCTCGTCAGCGGAACACTCTGGGTTCAAGAGATTTACCATCGGCCGAACAACCTCCATGATTATCTGGCCAGGAAATGCAACCTCAGGAGGTAACGCGTGTGCTAGATGGACCAGGGCTCGCGAAGCTTCCTTCTTTGTCTTGTATGTGGAATCCTGCGCTAACGACAATAATGCTTTTGTGCCGCCTTGTTGAACAATTATTTCTCTAATTTCGTCTGGAATGCATATCGCGTTGAGAACGGTGGCTGTCAATTCCTTAATATTTCGACTGTTCGTTTTGGAGAGGTTTACTAGAGTGCTGGTCATACCGGCTTTCGCTAACATGCATAGTCTTCTTCTTATTCTGGCGTCGTTTTCGTCGTCGGCTACAACGTGTTTGTCGGCAAAATGATGTCTGACAACCGTTATCAATTCTAAAATCTCGGGTATGTGTTCTTGCTCTTCATAAGCGTTGCACAAATTTATCAACGTTACAAGCACGCCGTAGGAAATCGATTGATCACCAGTCTTGGTGAGCTCCATCATTGCTCGAATGGCTTGTTGATCCTCGATCAACTCGTCTTTGACGTCGTCGTCGAAAGTAAGGTACGACAAGCCTTTTAAGGCCCATTTTATCATATCTTTTTCTTTCTTATAATTGATCAAGAATCGTCTGCAAACCTTGGCCAATTCCTTCGCCGCTCCATGCGGGAACAGTTTGATAGTCGGAGAGCAGAGTGCGTCTTCGAAATTGGTTAACTTGCATAAACCCACTAACGCTCGAATCCGAATTGAATCATGCTTAGAATAATACAGGTTCTGCAATATATTTCGACCTCGCCATATAAATATGTTGGCCTTGTTACAATTGGTTATAGCGGCAACGATACATTCGCAAACCATTTTCTGTTGCAATACGTCATCCGTTTTCGCCATAGCAAGAATCAACCCAATAACTTCTTTTTTACAGATAATTACGTTCGCAACGTCTAGCGGTCCGAATATTAAAGTTGTTATCGCAAGTACTATACGCACCTGTAAAACAATCACATAACAATTTATGAATTTCTACATTTTGTGAACCAATAATTAATTTAAAGAAATATCAATACAATTAGTTTTATTTAATTTTTATTAAAAATAGAGAAAATTTCTGGTTTGAAAAACTAAAAAAAATTGAGCTTTAAAAAATACTGGAAAAGTCATATTCTTCAATAAATTTCGATTCAACTCTATTATAATCGTATTTTAATTTAAAACTTACAGAATATACAATAATGATAATTAAAAAAATCTGTTTCGACATTTTTGCTTCAAAAAGTAGAGTTCAAGTTGTTCAAAAAGGATATAATTAAAGATACAGCCCTTTATTTTTAAATAATTTAAATAATCAAAAAAATCTCGGAAGATAATACCTTGGATTCTGTGTCAGGTGAAAGCGATTTATCTTTAATAAATTCTTCAATGGCGTTGATAAATTTTTCCTTAGCAGCATCGTAGTACATGTTTTCATATATTTTTGTTAAACACATACTGGTTTTAGTTCGTGTGGAAGATGTGATGTCTATCGAGGAATTGTATTTGTATCCCTCCATTTCACCGGCCACCTCCATTAATTTTTGCAAACCGCGAAGTTCGACAAATCGTTCGGCCCAGTCTAATGCAGTTACGCAATGAATATTACGCATAATAAGTTCTATTATTGCATCTCTAGCAAGGCCTGTTATCGTTCTACTCGTTACACTATTTAATAGACACGATAGAATCGTGTCAATTTCTTCTTTATGCGCCGCGCACAACGCATCGTCAGGTTTCGAATCGGGTTTGTTATTCATGCCGCTGTAAGTGTTCAATATATTCTGAAATCGAGATATGCAATAAATTTTTAATTACTGAAATACATAAAATGTGTAAAATAACTGCATGTATTTTACTCGATATTTACCTGTAAACAATATTGAGACGCATTAACTCTCTGTATAGATGTGCTGTTCATTATTTCCAGACACCAAGATAAACCGACGAATTTCATAACAGACTCGGTTCGATTAATATTGTTTTTGCATAATTCGCCTATAATGCGAATCGCAGTACAGATCACTTCTTCGTTCTTTTCCACTTTCACAAGTTGAACGAGTTTGGATACGCTTTCCTTTTTGAAAATCTCTTCGGCACCAGCTCTCTCACGTGCGAGTACAAGCAGATTGTTCATAGCGGTTTCACGTTTGCCGTTATCTGCACTCACGTTAAATGCTAAATCCAGCATTTGTGATACCTAATACAAAGTAAAATTATATTTAAATATAATGATCTGTAATAAAAAAATATAAATAATTAAGATTATATTTGTATGAATTTTTATTCATACAGGATGTGTAAACTATTAAACAATAATATAAACTATTAAACTATTAAATAATAATTATATAATAAAAGAAAGTAAAACTTATAAAAACCATTTATCAAATTATATGTGATATTGAGTTCAATGAAAACTCTTACTGAGAGAAGTATTTGGTATAAAAAGTATGTTAAAATTTTTACATTATCTACATATAGACCTATTTATCATCTCTTACGAGTTGATTTATTTCTATAGTAGTTTATATATTTATCTTGGCACTAATACTTGCATTTTCCTTACGACGTTCTTGTACAATTTCAAATAAGCGCGTCGCTACAGGCTGAATAACTTTGTTATTGGGGTCAGATGAAATAATGATCTCCGCGTCCCGATATGCCTCCTCGAATCTCTCTAACGCCTCTAGTGCTTGACATCTGCGATACAGTGCTTTGTTACAACATATCTTTAACGCACTGTCACAGTCTTCAACCACTTTCTCGTAATCGTGTAGCTTTAAATATACTGCAGCTCGATTTTTGTAGTAAACTCCTTTCTCAGCGTTGTCCTCTTTTATTAGTTTTAGTCCGTTTGTGTAGTGACTTATGGCATTTGACCAATTGCCTTTGCTAAATTCTTCATTACCCTTCTCTTTCCATTCCTGTGCAGTCATAACTGACTTTGCCATGGTGGAATAACTCTACAACACAAAATATGTGATGCATTATATATTAATATGGAATAACTCTCTGTGATATTTTATATGTATTATCTTAAATGTGGAAAGTATAGAAGATGCAATTATTAGATACTAAATAATTATATGCAAATATGAGACAATAGATCTGTTTTCTGTTGCTGAACTGGCTGCACTAGTTCAGCAACAGAAAACAGATCCAAAATATAATGGATCAAAAATACATACACTATTCAATAATAATTATCCAATTTCTAGTGTGAGACCTGCATGTAAATTGTAATCAAATGTTGCAATAATCTTTATATCAGACAGCTGACTTTTGTTGAACATTGGAAAACAACAGAAGAAGTCAATCGTTTAAGTAACTATTTTAAGTAATTATTCGTTCTCAGAATCTCCAAGAGATATTTTTTCTTATATAAAAGTATTTAAGGTACCGTCAACCGAGTATTTGTTTTCCGGTTTTTTAATGCATTTAAAGTATTTTAGAGTTATTTGTTCATTTCTTGAGTGTACTCGCGCGCGCGCGTGTGTGTGTGCGTGTGCGCGCGCTCTCGTGTGACTTCTTTCTTTTCCCGATTGTAACTACGCATCATATATTATTTTTAAATAGCTTTTTGTTATATTGTTGATGAATCTTGATTCAGATCGTTGCGTCGGTGAAACAAATGTAGATCCTTTACCTGTCGGATAGCTTCCTTTTCGTAACGTTTTTTTGATGCTGCTGGAGCACTCGAACTTTTTCTACTTTCTCCACCACGTGTTTACTTTTTTACCGGTCAACTTTTCAACGGGTGATTAAAACCCGCTAAACCGGCAAGCATTGACGCCAAGCTGAGGACGTGGCTCGCGGCTACCTTGCGCTGGTTGTAACCACGTGACCGGAGTAGTTAATTACGCTAATGAGTAAATGAGGCACAAATAACAGAGAGAAACCTGTGACTTCTGCGAGCGGCCGTCGGCCGGTGTTTGTTTTGATATCGTTTTACCGACTGCTTCGCACGCCACTCGCACCCATATTCAACGTTGGAACTACTTGGCAATTGGCAGTGAATTGGCATACCTGTATACACGTCAGTATGACAGGTTGTCTATTCGTGCAGGTACGTGGTCATTCACCAAGCGTATGGTCTACAAATGGCTGGGTTCCACTTATCGCTCACAACGCTCGCGAGCATCATTTCGTCCTTGTTTAACATTTGACAAACAACAAGGATGAAATGATTCCACGAGCGTTGCGAGCGATAAGTGAAACGCACCCAATGCGAGTTGCAAAGTCGTGAGTCGCAAGAATTGACCAATCACAATCGAATTTGAGGAGAATAATCGACTGTGATTGGTCAATTTTTACGACTCACGACTTTGCGACTCCCATGAGGTTCTTCAGTGAAAGCTAGCATAGAGTGCAGCACCATATCAAAATTGGTAGTATTCCGCGCGAGCTTCAAACACCAATTGTTAACATATGGGAAAAATCAGTATTGTAATAAAAATATTATGACTGTATGTCAATCGATAATGTTTGTTCGCATTCATTAACTGAAATAACGTAATCTGTTACAATTTGGTTCGCCGGGTAAAGAGTATATTAGACATAATAACCTATATTATTGACGATCTATTTTACCGATCTTGTAAATCCTTCTTTTTCCCCATTACTTTTGCTCCCCGAGAACGGAGCTCTTTTTTTAATTTTTCCACAGACCACTTTGCGTATTTTTCGCCACTCATTATTATCACAATTCTTTTTGATTCTTTCGCTGCTTTGAAATTTGCGCCGTTAGCTACCAGGCACAGTAGCTCTCCTGTGCGGGAGCAAAAGTTAAGCGGGGAGCACACACTTCCGCATAACGCATAATGCGTAAGCATAAGAAAATTGATTGGTCCATACACATGTGCATAAGGAAATAGACCAATCAGTTTT